GATGGTTCATAATGAGTCCCTCATCCAATTTCTCAGGAAAATTGGTGTTGGTGAACAAGAAGTAATACTGATTTTTAACATTTTTCAGCTTATGCCTGTCTGGCTAAAGAAATCGTCTGTAAATCTGGGTATTCATTAGTAGACCTCTTCATACATCCTATGACTACAGTTTACTTTTCATTTGAAGTTACTTTTCTCTTGCTTCTGTTAAGGCTAATAAAGGCTCATAATTAATCTCAATTGGCTCCGTGGGTCTCAGAATCGTTCGCGCCATAACACTTCCTCCTTTAAAAAGTCCAGAAGAAAAAAATGACCATTTGTTTACTTCACAGCCTAAAGCTAAATGTGGACTTTCACTGATTATCACCCATATTAAGTAGTATTTGTTCAATGCACATGATTGTCCAACCATTTCCCTGGCAAGTTGCATGTTATTCTGACTGAATAGAATATCCAACAGCACAGTGCATTTTGGAAAATAATAATATAAACTATATCTTACCGTATTATTTTTCAAGCATTTTAACAGATCCTTTTCTTAAAAAAATAAATGAACAAAACCGCATATACCTTTTAAAGAGTTCATCAAATTCAGAGACTTGACCTATCTTAACTAATACTATTTCTTAAAAAGAGGGCTCCAACTTAATGAAGATGATTAAAACAAAGCTAGTGTTTTTATTTATAGCTTTAAAAATAACATTATCACTGAACATACCTATAAAAGGAAAATTATTGTTCAAGAGTTATACTGTTTGATCAAGTCCAAGTGCTCCAAATTGTCATAAAACAGTGTAGGGAGGAGGCAAGAGAATTAAAAATGTTAATCAAGTTACATTCAGAGACTTCAATATGCTGATTAGCCCTGCAGCCAGGCCAGGAGGATACCTTCAGAACAAAGGACGATTTCTGCTGGGATTACTAACAATCCATTCCCCACACCAGTGAAGGGGAAACCAGAACCAACAGAATCATTCCCTATGGCTAAAACCATGGGGAACCTATGGATTAAAGGCTGGGAACTGCTAGCAGGCTTTTCACTCTACATATTCTTACCTTTTCACACTACATACCCTTCCTCTTCCTCAAGTATGTCCATATCAAAGGAAATGGGTTAACAAAGTCTTTTAAACTATAACTAACAGGAACTAAAGAATGAGATATAAACTGAATTCCCAGAACACTAGGGGTCCCTCTCACTGTCTTTACTCTTTCTCGCTGTCTTCCTTTCTATTGTCTCTGCCTCTCTGAGCCTCTCTTTTAGGCTCTCTCGCTCTGCCTCTCAGAGGAGACCACACTCTATGGAATGATACCCCTTCTCCAATAAACTTTCCTTTTGACTCTGGCATGTGTGTTGAATTCTTTCTATACTCTCTGCCAAAGGATCCTCTTCTCTCGGTGCAGGGCTTGGTCTCCCTGCCACTTGGGGAAATTTGCCCTGCCTTGCATCATACAGCTTATTTGGCTTTCCTAGTCCCAGTAATACTAACTTCAAAGAAAACCCACAAACTTTGGGAACTCACAGCATCCTAATCATTAATTAGAAACATCAAATTGTAAAAGACATTATGAGCAATTACATTCAACCTATGGTAAATTAGAAAACAACACATAAGTTTGTTTGAAAAGAATCTATGAAGCCTCAAATATCCTAGCCTTGTGATTTCATATCACTTAATTCATACCTGCACAGACAGCTGTATATAGACAAGTAAAACAGTCAGAATGAAGAGGCCCATGCAATGAGAACCATGTGAAGGAGGTTCCCTATTTTGGTTAGGTTTTCTATTCAAACTAGTTTTGTTTTGTTTTTTCCTAAAAAACAACCAAAAAACTAGTTTTTTTTTCTCTAGTCCAATCTCCCAACAGATACAGTCAATGATGAAGTAAAAAAAGAAAAAAGAATGGGTTAACATCTATTATAATTCAACGACATTATTCAGACACAGCCACTATGTAGCTTGATTACACGGCTTATATAGACTGGCACAATTTTACAAATGATTAACAGACACTTTTAAAGAAAAAAATGAATTTGGCATGAAGTTTTAAAACTTAATTTTTCATTTCGGATTCCTTCGATAATCTATGGGAGAAAAGGTAGCAGAGTGCCCTTAAAGAGTACAGTTAGTGGTAAGGATAGGTTCCAAAAGATGGGCATTAGAGGAGAGAGGGAGAAATTTAAAAATCATAAAATAATATAACTATTTAAATTGCCCTCACAACATTCCAGGCACCTTTTGAAGTACTTGACCTCCATTTACTCCTACACTGAGGTAGGATCGACAATTACACCCATTTTACAGGTCAGGCATCTGAGTCACAGAAAAGATAAGGAACCTGCAGAAGGTCACACAGGTAGCAGGTGGTGAACCTGGAATCTGAACCAGGCAATGTGGTCACGTGGTGCATCTTTAACGTGGCCTCTGCATTGCCATTGTCTGCCATGTTACACGCATTCTCTCATTTCACCCGTACAACAGCATTACGTAGCAGGTAACATCTCCAATTACAGATGAAGAACAAGTCCTAGAGCATCATAGATTTATTAAATGGCAGTGGAGCTGAAATGCCAAGTGAGAGATTTCAGACTCCAAAGCTTTAGGGAAGAGGAGCATCAAGATGACATTTCTCACCTGGAATGAAGAGGGACGTGGGCTCTGTGATCCTTAAGAACCTCGAACCAAGATAAATGAGTAAGCCTGCCTGTGGGCAAGGAGAAAGTCTGCTCTGTTCACTATGGGGAATTCCAATCCCTAACATAGCATGACATATATGAGGGCACTCTCTACTCCGTTACAACAGTCACCAATCTTAATGACTGATTGTTTCATGTGGCTTTCCCCACAGACTGTAAGCTCTGTTCATTTAGTGTGAATATACTATGTTCCAGACAGGTACTCTTCTAAGTGCTTGGGATATGCCAGTGAATACAGTAAAGATCCTAACCTGTTGCTTATTTAACTTTGCACCCCTGGCTCTTAGTAGAATATCGGGTTCCCATTGGTTCTGAATAATATTTACTGAATGAATAAATGAATGAATTAGGAGGGGCAGGTAGAAACAAAAGAAAAAAAAAACTACAGTGAAAAGGAAGTATCTGTGTTTGCTCTGTTAACACCCAAATTTTTATTAAAATTTAATATACTTGTGATTAATAAGAATGACCATTTTTTATTATTTAACTTATCTTTAAAAGTATAATTGCTACCAAACGTATTTTAATTCCAAAAGGGCACAAGCATCCAGGTCCTGAAGGAGGACTTGTGGTTCAGGATGCAACAACTGCTCCTTTGTCAGACTACATTTTCAAATCATATTCTCCAGCACTTAGCCCGTGTTTGTGCTCACCACTTTTCAAAAGGTGACTTTCCAAGGCAAGTCTTCTCCCAGTAATTAGAAGCATTTATCTTAAAGCTCGTTCTGTTTTAGCAGTGAGGTTATACGCAGTCATCTGTATTGTTACTGACTTCCTCAATTAGAGGCAATGGCATTTCACCTCCATGCAAAATATTAGTAAATTAACAGTCCCCACTCTGCATTCATTGGAAAAATCTGCTCTGCTTGTGATGACGAAAGTGACAAGCAGGGAGTAATCAGAGACACTCCAGTATACCTTTAAGCCTTGCAAACATCAATTAAAACTCTGGCTCTGCACCTTGTCATTGGGGTTTGGCCTGTAGGGTACATTTCTTTTTTTCATGACATGATGCATAAGTCAGCATTGGTAATTGCAAGAGAAATAAGCAGTAACTCCAACAAAAAAACAGCGATAGAAACATCCACCCTGGTTTTCCAGAATCTTTCCTATTACTCAATGTTTCTTTTAGACCATAAAATGAACTCTAACATTGTGAACAATTTTCAGATCAGATTTATAGTTCTCTGACATGACAACTTTGACTCAAAGAGCAAATTCTAACGAATATTTCCTTATAGTGCTAAGAAGACTGCAAAGAGATTATTATTTAAATGTTGTGACCGTCTCTTTCAGATGTAAAGGCATCTTAGTCTAATGAAGATATTTTTAACCTAGTAATTGTTAGGTCACGTGGATGGGCTTCAGTAGATTTATCTAAAATTTGTGAAAAACATCTTACGTGTATTGTATTAGGATAAACCTGGCCACTTTTATCAGCTTCTTTATGAGGACTTGTAACCCCATTAGGTAAGAATCTCTGGTCTGGTGAGAAGGACCCAAAGGCTGCGCAGAGGGTTCTGCTGGGGTCTGCCACCAGAACTGTCATGGAGTTGGCCCGGTTTTAGTTCCTGTTCGTCTCCTCTATGTTTTAATATTTAAAACATAGGAATCATCAGTTTAGCTGAATCTTTACCTCTAATGTACTATATTCTAATAACTATATTAAGTAATGATTCAGCCTCATCCTTCATTGGCACTTTTGAGTATCATTAACCACAAAACTAAACATTTATGAAGACATTAATATTTGCATTGCATCAATGGAGCAGAAAGATCAACACTTTCCATTTGGAGACAGTATCACTTCTTCATGACAAGTCAAACCCTTAGGAAACTTTCATGCCATCAGAATATCATTTCTTTATGTGGTATGTTATAATAAAGCCTAACTTATAATTTAGGTATAATATAGCACTATGTCAACTGTGCGTTTTTAAGTCTATCAATTCTATTATGTTTCCAAAGACAGAAATGTTGAGAAACTGGACAAGTATTGCTTAAAATTATCCAACTAATTATTTCAAAATCTTTCTTTTTTGGGGGCTATGGAATTCCAGCCAAGGTTAAAGGTTATCTTTTGTAAAATCAATTAAACTAAAATGAAAGTTTTTAATTTTTTATCATTATGGCTTAATAAAGGCAAATCAGGTCAAAATCATTGATTTTTTTTTTTTCACTAAATCTGTATTCAAGAACAGCCACTTATTTAATGTAAAGAAGATTTCTAAATGAGAAAGGTCTAATGAGAAATCCAAACGATCATTTTTGTACTGCATATGTAAAACTATAGTTAACTTACTGTCATGATGAGCCCCTTTTCCTGGAAGTATTTAACCAATGGAGCAGCATTCTGCTTGAAGTTCATTAGTCTCCTTTGGGTAGCTTTCAGATTGTCATCAGGACGCCCCTGTTGCTCTGCGCGCTTCAATAATCTTTCTTTGAGCCTCTGATTGGCGCAAGCCAGGAACACGACCAAGTCGGGAGTACAGATCTGTGGAGAGCATTAGACAGATAGGCATTCAACATATCAACCAATGCAAGTACAGGCAATAGCATGCATCTCTTTTGGTTCTGTTGCAGTGCCATATTTTTGGCTTTCTATGTTTTTTTTTGCCAGCACATTTCCAGGGTTATCACTACACAATGCCAGGAGCAGTCACTGCCATTATAATCCAAGTAAATGGCATACCCCAACCCATATGACCATATGCAGCAACCTACTAATTTTAGGAGAATACTTTTTATTTATGCTTAAATATGCGTCCTGGTTGAATTAAGAATATAGGCCAAACTTTGCCAAAGGTATATGTGACCTGATTTTACAGGGGAGATGACTATTGGGCCATGGATGTTGTCTACAGTGAATAAGTACTGCTGCTATTTTTACAATTTGATGTCCTTTCAAAAGTATCTACTTTATGCCAGGTCCGATGTTAAGTTATTTCCTATGATAATGTTAAACTTCACAACAATCTGCATTACTTACATTTTACAGATGAGAAAAACTGAGCCTCTGAGAAATTAAAGTACTTATCTGAGGCCATGTGGTCAGTAAGATCAAAGTTGATATCTGAACCTAGGTTTCTCTGGCCTAAGGCCTCTGTTCTTTCCACTGTTACAAAGCACCAAATGGCCCAAAGACCTTTGTGAATTTCTGAAAATATCAAGGAATGACATGGAAAGAACTTATGAAATAAACAGTTTTTATTTGACTCAATTAGAATTACTATTGCATTTGAAAGGTAACATGGTCATATAAAGTGAATGCAGTTTCTTATTGAAGATGGGAAAAAACAAAAAGGCAGTTTTGGATAGTGGTTTAAAGCAATAATCTCCAAAACTTTTAATCTCATCTTCACATTAGTAAATTATTTGAGTGTGTACCACAATAAATATATACTTATTAAGATATAGATTATGCACGTATAAATGATATGCATGTGTTACCACACTAATACAGGATGCAATTTAGAAAATATGATCATTCTTTTATCCACAAGGGATTGAGTCCAGGATCCCTACATGATACAAAATCTGAGGATGCTCAAGTCCCTCATAAAATTGGGTAGTATTTGCATATAACCTCCATACATTCTCCCCTATACTTTAAATCACTTCAAGATTACTTGTAATACCCAATACCATGTAAATGCTATGCAAACAGTTGATATACTATATTATTTAGAAAATTATGACAAGGAACAAGTTCATGTATAGACATGTTCAGTACACATCAACAATGCTATAACATTTTTTCTGAATATTTTCCATTTGTGGTTGGTTGAATCTGCAAATGCAGAACATGCAGATATGGAGGGCTGGCTGTATACACAAAAATACAATTTAAAAAGGATGAATTATAATAATCATAATTTTTATATTTTCGTCACAAAACACAGCAGTTTGCCTTGTGCCCTCTGGATACCACTGGTTAGAAAATGGACTCTGAAGACTGGAAGCATAAATTCCAGTTTTTGTCCTTGAATTTACCAGTTGAGAGATGGGTATATGACTTAACTTTGCTAAACCTCCGTGTCCTCATCCGTCAGTAGAGATAGGTAAACCTACCTTCCTGAGTTATTAGAAAGATTAAATAAGATAATGTATATAAAATACAAAGCATGAACTTGATCCACATGCTCAACAAATTTTAGCCATGTTTATTATCTCTTGGTATTCATAATTCTATGTTGTCCTGGTTCTCCTTTAACTTTTTTTATCTTTTTTTTGCATTTTTTTCCTTCCTTAAACCCACACGTGGGGGGAGGATTCCTTGAGGCTTAGATGGTTTTTTACCCCCCTTCAGATTCTTAATCTCTTCTCATTCTCTCAGTGCCTTTCCACTTTTTTGTTTCAACCACTACCCTTTGTTGATGAATTCCAAATCTACATTTTCAGCACTGACTTTCAATAGTACTTAAGTTCTATATTGTCAAATGTTTATATGATGGCTCTGTCTATAAATCTTAATGTTACTTGTTACTCAGCAAGGCTGAAATTAATCTCAGCACACTTTTACCTAAATGAAATTTCCACCTTGTTTATTTATTTATTTTTATGGTAGTAATACTAATTTCCTAAATTTCTCAGCTAGAAGCCTCCATATTGTTTCTAACCCTTACTTATCAAAACTTCAGTCTTTCCGAGCTATCACCTTTGCCTATGAATTTTGCCTTTGAAACACCATCCAGACTTCTCTTGCATCAATTTCTACTGCCACTGTGTAAGCATAGGCACATACTGGCATAAGTGATTAAGAACATGATTTTTAGAATAGATTGTTATGAATTTGAATCTAGAATCTGCCATCTATTAGTTGTTTGTCCTTGGGCAAATGATTCAATTTCTCTGAACCTCAGTTTTCTCAACTGTAAAACAAGGGGAAAAACCCACCATCTCAGTAGCTTAGTATTTCTCAATTTTAAAAAAAGTTCTAAATAGCTTTTGAGAAAGCTTAACAATTTGGAAAATTACAATTTATAGATATTATCTGAAGTTAAAACTTTTACAAATATATTATAAAATTCATATTTAATAAAATCTTTGGCAATATTCAGCCTTACTCAATATAACAAATGACATCCTTTTTAATTGCCTTTAAATGAATTATATAAGGGAGAAGACAATTTTTGACAAATAAATGAAAATGACATTATAGTGTGCTTGGTTTGGTTATAATGTATATTAAAATATGAAAAAAATCTGAACTACTAGCTCGATACTGAATGCAGATAAAAACTTCTTGCATTTTGAAATTCTTGCAGTTTTCATTTAAACAAATTAAACGGTTCACTTTTAATATATTTTTTGTTTTGTTTCACACTGCAATGTAAGCACTTCTCTCTACATAACACAATCAAGTCAGGGATAGACTTATATATGTAATCATCAGCATATTTTGTCTGTTACTATTGGCTTTTGAAATACTAAAGACATCTTGACATTCATATAAGCTTTTCTTACACTTTGAATGAAATTGCATTTTGTTTATTTAAAAAAATTAACAGAACTTTTAAAAAAGCAGTTTTAGGTGTACAGAAAACTTGAAAGGAATACATAAGATTTTTTTTAATGCTATACTTTTTATTCTAAATGGTATTATATTAAAGTTTGCCTACTTCGCCATCTTGCCTGGAACCTCTTACATTCGTAATATCTAAGATTTTTGATCCACGAACGCAACTTCAGGCCTGATAAAGATGATTTTAAAGTGAATCTGCAAAGTTATTTAATTTTCTAATTGTGATTAACCTGCTGTCTTTCCTTGGTATAAATTAAACAATATATAACTAGAAATAAAAAAAAAAATCAAAATATAGAACAGACGAGACCATCGTGACAGCTAGGGACAATCAGCTGATTGCTCAACAGAGCAACCGAAGGCACAAGCATACTCATCTATTTCCTAGTGAACATATATGATCACTCATTAGGGCTTCACTTTCTCCAACAGAATTCCATTTTTAAAGGAAAAAAATATTTAAATAGTTTGCTTTTCCCCAAAAATGTAAAATAGAAGCAGACACCATTCTGCTCCAAAAAACAGGAAGCCCCTAGAAAGTTTTCATAAAATTCACTTGTGAAATACTGGGAAGTCTCAACAAAGTAGATCCTTCGCATACCTTTCCTCAGCTTACGTTCTCAAAATATATTTGTTAATTGAATGATTGAGTGAATAAGTAAGTAAATAAATAAATAACAACAAAAACTGAGATACTGCTTTTGTCTACGTGGAAGTAAATTTCCCAATTGTTGATACTGTTTCTTCCATTGAATCAACTAAATCGACCTTTCTTCCCCCCTTGCATTATATAGACAAGTCAACTTTCCTCTATCCATTTTCTTAAAGGCCCTACCTGAGTGTTTACTTGTTAAAAAGTGTTCTTGTTAAAAAAGAACCCATGGTTGCCTTTAATAAGCAAAGTTGTATTCACTGCGTCAGACTGCAAAATGAGTGTATTTTAATACACCCCGTTCTTAACTTTGAGAACTTTGACTGACCTATTCTTTATAAAGATGTGGTAGAAAGCTTAGATTCCATAATTCAGACTATACTGTCAAAAACCAGGAAGCATAATAGAAAAAGAGTGAGAGAGAGAGAGAGAGAGCGAGAGAGGGAACATCACAGTTGGAATAAAAACTGGAATCACAGAAACTAAGGGATGGAAAAAACTTGGAGGTTATCTAACCCAAATGAATGCCAAAACTGTAATCTTTTCCACAATCTCTTGACAGTGGTTTTTAAGTTTGAATAGTTAAACTTGAACGTTGTTGTGAGCATTTCTTGTGCTGGGTACTTGTTCCTTATGAGCCAGTCTCTTTCATTACCGGATGATTTTAATAATTGGGAATTTCTTTCTAGTACTGGGCTAAACTTGCTTCCTATTCTGCCTGATGGGAAAATGTAAAGTAAATTATTTCTTTCATCCATCAAACATTTATTGAACGTACATCATTATCACAGAGGCTAGACTAGATCATAAAAAGAAAAAAGGACAGATAACTGGACCTCATTATCATTTAGCATGGAGATAATTTCTGGGCAGAGCTTTTAACAGACTATGGGCTTAGGGACAAAAATTGGAATACAGGGCCCACGAAGGGGGAGCAGTTCTAAAAACTACAACAGCTGCCCCCACTCTAGGCCTTTGATTGGAATCCTAAGGGGTTATACTTTTGAGTGTATGTGAGCCAGCCTTCACGGGACTAAATCTGATTTAGAATTATTCTAAATCCTCACTATACTGTGGTGATTAAATGTGTTTAACAGCCAATTAGGTATATGTGAAAACAGAATTAGTGAACTAAAATGTCAGAAGAAAATATCCAGAATGAAGCAAGGGGGAGGAAGGAGTAGGGAAAAATACAGAAAACAGCAAAAGTTCTAGAAGAAGAGAGAAAATGAAAAAACAGTATTTGAAAATATAATAGCTAAGAATTTTCCAGTCACAAATGATATCAAGTCCTAGATTCAAGAAACATTATAAAAAC